GAATACCATATATCAAAATACATATATATGCATACAAGCAATGACTTACGACCTTTCGCCGGTCCACCAATTGGCTCACAACCTTTCGCCGATCCACCAATAATATGTGTATCTAGACTTTATGGCCTACCTGCCATTTTGTCGTCAACACACATGTCTATAGGCTCCCGACCTGTTGCCGTTCCGCCGTCAACCCCTAACTTAACTGTAATAACTTAAATATAATAACATTTAAACCAATAGATATTACACTTTCAAACACTATTCTACTAGTTCAAATATAGTAACAATAAGCACATAGACACTATACTTTCGTCTCTACTCAATAATTTGAGTATAATTACATAAAGCACATAAAGACTATACTTTTACTGTACTAGTTTAAATATATTTGTTATATATAATAAGTCAAACAAATAAATTCTCGACTAACTCAAATAAACGTTTATAATATATAAACTTTAAGTCATTTTTTACGACTAAACTGCAAAATTGGTCCTTGTGGTTTCATAAAAACTTTGGATAGGGTCCAAAACGTTTCCGACTTGCATGGAAGGTCCAAAATCAAAAACTTCCTTTGATTTTAGTCCATTTTAGTCATTACAAAACCTGAAAAGACTTTTTTACCCTTTTGATTTTTTTTTCATTTTTAATATCAATTTTAACTACTTTATAATTAAAAAAAAGAAAATATCCTTTTCTCTCTCTCTCTCTCTCTCTTCGATTCTTTCTCTGTGAAATTCTTTCTCTTTTTTCCATTTTCTTCCTCACTTTTCACTTTCAAATGCAATTAAATGAAAAAAAAACCCAGATCAGAGAAGCAAATCCATGTCAAAAATGGAATAAGAATCAGTGAAGCATTAATATCAACTTGCCAATTTCCCGACCATCTTCTTCTTCCCCTGTTAATCAACCCCCCTGATTGAATTGATTCAACGCACCTACCTCATATCTATGTTGTGTCTCATCAGAGAAAACATGGTACGATGTCTCTAGCTAGACCAAGCTTTTGTCACCGACCTTGCCTCCACCGACGACTTAGGAAGCTAAAACTCATGGCTTCCCTTATTTGATCTCCATTCTTGCAATTAAAGGTGTTTTTTTTCTTGCTGATCTTACCCCTCTTTGTGGAAATCAAAAAACCAAAAGATGAGATGATGTAAAATGAAGACCCAGAAGAATATTTAAACCAATGTCGGAGAAGATGAAGTGGTGGCCGAGCGATGTCATCAGATGTCTTGACTCCTAGAACCAACACCTCTATTAGCGGGTTTCGTTTGTGAGAGATTTGATTTTTAGGATGTATATGTGAGAGGTTTCAGTTGCAAGTAAAGGTGAGGAAGAAGAAGATGGGAGGGGGTGGTGATGAACCTGCATCAACGATATGAATCTTCCTTATCAGATCGTTCAATAACAATGTGTGTTTTGGGGTTGAACCAACAATTGTTTATGAGCCTCACACCAGAAACAATATCTAAATCTGTAAACATGTGTGTTGAATCTAAAATGGAGGTGCACTAACTTTCTGAGATAATCTCCTCCTTCTTCAACACATAAACAAATACACACAATACAATTAATGTTGATTTCGTAAGTGTGTGTTGATTTAGCCATCGGTTTGACTTGGAAACTGAATCAAAAGTGTGTATGTGTGAGAGTGTGTGTTTATTGTGGAGAGAGAGAGATAGATAGATAGATAGAGAGAGAGAGAGAGAGAGAGAAAGAAAGGTGGAGGTGGGTGGGGATAATCCTTTTCTTTCCTTTTTTTTAAGTTAAAATGGTATTATATTAATTATAAAAAATACAAAAAAGAAAATGAAAGTGCATAACCGTCATTTCAAATTTTTTTGGACTAAAATCAAAGGAAGTTTTTGATTTTGGACCTTTCATGCAAGTCGGAAACGTTTTGGACCCTATCCAAAGTTTTTATGAAACCACAAGGACCAAATTTACAGTTTTGTCTTTTTTTTTTTCAAATATTTAGTCAAAATAATAGAAACTATAATTTATAAATTATAAATCAAAAAATTTTGAATTGGCTAAATATATAAAAACGATATATTATCATTATCGAATATTATTCTACGTCCTATTTAAATTCAACAATTGATAACTAACATCCCGAAATATATATGATTTTTATTAGTCGAAAATACGGGTGTTACACAGGGTTTGTTACGACATGAAAATTATAATATATTGTGTATTTGAATCGTAGTAGTATCGAGAAGTAATACAATGAACACATGAATACAATGATGAATCAATGCTTGAGCAGGAGAATACAATTATAACAAAAATAGCACCTAGACCAAGTATAGATACATGAATGACAAAATAAGTTAATATTAATATATTATGCTTCAAAAGTTTGTGTGCATTGTTTAAGTACTGTCTATTACAAGTGTGATGGTAAAATACAGACAAAACTGCAAAAATGGTCCCTATGGTATCAATTTTTTTTGAGGTTTAGTTCAAATCTCGATTTTTTTGGTTTCATGGTCCTTTTGAGGTAGTTTGTTTGTGTTTTGGTCCCTCGGTAAACTAAAATGACTGTAATTCCCTTATGATATATATATATATATATATATATATATTATATATATATATTTTATGTTCTTTCTATTTAATTTAAATGAAAAAGAAAATAGATGATTAATTTGGACCCACATCTCTCTCTCCCTCTCTTTTTCTCTCGCACTGCTACCTGGAGGAACACATTTGAAGACACATAAATTCTTTTGGGGAACATGATGAACACATTTATCATACATGATGAACATAGATTAATTTCTTCTGAAAATCGATTGTAAAATCATGTTTTGAAGACACAAAAATCATCTCTGTAAACACATACACACACAACACACGAAGATCTTTGATTTTTTGAACATGTTTTTGGAAACACACACACACATACACCTGTGGGTTCATAGATGAATATGACAATCTGGGTTCATAGATGAACACGGTGAATAGAAACGACAATCTGGGTTCATAGATGAACACGGTGAACACAAACCTGTAAATCGATTTATGGGTTTTGTTAGGGCCGAAAAAGGTTGATTTCGAGAGCTTATCCATAGATGAACAAGGTGAACACACACACACACACACCATATTTCACCAAAAATTAGTCAAATTCTGTTTGCAAGTTGTAAATCGATAGATTTAAGATGCAAGTGATGAATTCAAACAAACTTTTATTGTTCTTGATTTGCTCGATTTCTCAAGGTCATCATCTGAGGGTTTACCGAGATGAACACACACACCTACACACATTGTTTTTGAGAGATGAGGGATTGAATGTTTTTCAGAAATCATTTTAGAGACGAGGTCTTTAGCGTTTTTCAGAAACGATTTCAGAGATGAGGCAGGTCTTGAGCTTATTTCATTCTCTCAAAAATCAAATCCCCAAAGTGAATCCCATGTTTCAGGTTATGATTATCGTCATCATTGCGATTGGTGTTGCCAATTCGAAGAAGAACAAGCAGATTATCCAACTCACTAAGTCTATTGATTTATGGCAGATTTAGGGGTTGTGGGTGAGATTTACAAGCAAGATCGATGCGAAATCAAGGATTTTCACTAGGGGTTCTTGTTGTGAAATTACCTGAAGCCATTGAAATCCTTTTGTAGAAGACGATGAACCGTACTCAATTTTGATTTCTAGATTTTTGGATTTCAAGGGACGAAGAAGAAGTTCATCAGAGCCAACGATCACCACCAGAGCAAGGAAAGAATGAGCAAGACCACAAATTCGCAATGTAGTGGAGCATGACAACAAAAAATCTGGATAAAGTAGTTTAGACCAATGTGGGGCTGCAATTAGGTGGTTTGGGTTTGGGCGAGAGGAGAGGAGAGAGGGAGAGAGAGAGAGAGAGAGAGAGAGAGAGAGAGAGAGAGAGCGAGAGAGAGAGAGAGAGAGAGAGAGAGAGAGAGAGAGAGAGAGAGAGAGAGAGAGAGAGAGAGAGAGAGAGAGGTGGGACCCCACTTATTTTTTAATTATTAAAATAAATAAAGAAATAATAGATTTAAAAAAATGAAAGAAAAATAGAAAATAAATACCCAAGGGTATTTATAGTCATTGAAATATTCGCAGGACAATTTCCACATAGAGTTCCACATAGAAACATGGCCAAAAAGACCATTGAAACCAAAAAAGTTAAGGTTTTGACTAAATCTCAGAAAAAAATGTTATACCATATGGACAATTTTTATAGTTTTGTCTAAACTATATCTAAGGCTGAGGGAGTGTCCTTCGCCAGAAACTCACCTCGAGCTTGCCACTCTCGCCATGACCACTCCCATCAGATGCGCTACTTGCCTCGCCAAATATGGCTTGCCGGCCAGACTACCGGGATAGCTAGTGGAAAGTGAAAGATAAGGGAAAGGGAAAGGCGACGAGACTACCGGATAACTAGTGGAAAGTGAAGATAAGGGAAAGGGAAAGGTTGTGATTGGTTTATTATTTTTTTTTTTAATTTTTTTTCAAAAAATAAAATCCTTCAACATTTAGATGCTACTATTCCATATCTTTTACAACTTGGATGCTACCACTCTCCATTATATGTGACATAAAAAAATCTTATGTGACAACATGCTAAACATATTACCATTCTTACCGCCTAAAAGTTGTATTCCTTCCAACAAATTCTCACATTTTTAAGTACAAGTGAATGTTTGGCATTGGCATGCTAAGCATTCATGATGCTTTATATTACTTTTAAAGCAAGTTGACGGCGGCTAACATATTTAATTAAGATAACCAAATCTTCGATAAACATGACACAAAGGACAATCTGTTCTTTTGACTCCATAGGCCAAAGAAAATGACTCTGCAAGTTTCTATATTTATCGTGTCAAATATGCTTCGCATAATCACATCTGCACCCTATATAAACCAGGCTTTAGTCTCACTTCATATGCACTCACAACAACGATGACCACCTCTACAATTTCCACTTTCCTCCTCTTGGTTCTTCTTTTCCGCTTCACCAATGCAGCCATTTTTTGACATCCGAAACAACTTTCCATACACTGTCTGGGCTGGAGCAGTGCCCGGCGGTGGTCAACAGCTTAATCCAGGTCAAACCTGGTCTTTAAATGTGGCAGCAGGCACATCACAAGCTCGTATATGGCCACGTACCAACTGCAACTTTGATGGGTCGGGTCGAGGTTCGTGTCAGACCGGGTGACTGCAACGGCCTCCTTCGGTGCCAAAACTATGGCCACCCCACCTAACTCATTGGCTGAATACGCGTTGAATCAATATATGAATCTGATTTCTTTGATGTTTCTCTCATCGATGGATTCAACGTGCCAATTGAATTTAGCCCTAACTCTGGTGGGTGCACCCGTGGCATCAAATGTACTGCGGACATCAATGGCCAGTGCCCTAATGAGTTAAGAGCCCGGTGGTGCAATAAACCCTTGCACTGTGTACAAGACGGATGAATATTGTTGTAACTCAGGGAACTGTGGGCCGACTTATTTTCAAGATTTTTCAAAGATCGATGCCCCGATGCCTATAGCTACCCCAAGGATGATCAAACTAGCACGTTTACATGCCCTGGTGGAACAAACTATAGGGTTGTGTTTTGCCCTTCCAACGCTATTCAAAATATAGCTAGTGATATATAAAGATGATCATAGTCTAATATTAGGCTTGCTTCTTAATAATTTGTAAAAGCATAAAAACACCAGCTTTGGAGTGTTCATGACCACGTAATAAAAGATTATACACTTAATGTTGTTTGGTTTCAACAAACTTAAGAAGAAACACAAAACATTACTTATGAATTTAACTGCATTTTTTGAATGGAAAGGCTAATAGATTTATAGTGAAATGTAGGAAATTGAAATTGGGATTAAATTGAACACCTCCCCTATTAATCCATGGTAGACTGATCATTTCTATATTCCCATCAACATATAAATGCTTTCTACATGAGTAATTTGTGAGAATTTCCACGACTTATCATCATACATGTAAAATCCACTTCTTATATATATTATATATATATATATAATATATATATATATATTATATATATATATATATAATATATATATGCTTGTTTCTTCCACATAGAATGAGATTTCTTGGCCAGTTTAACTATTGTTATTCATGTCTGATGGCTGGGTTGACCAATGAAAAAAAATGGACTGATTCCTACTTTTTTTTTATATCATCAACTTAGATAACTATGTTGCTATTATTTGTAAAAAATATGCTTGACACCAATATAGGTTACATATTGTAATTATAAGCAAAAACAAAAAATGTAAGTAAAATGGTATTCTTAGTAAAAAAATAAAGTATGCCGCCTATATTGGAAAAGGAGTAACACAAACAGTACAATTACAAAAACCTTACTCCCATTAGAATGAGGTAAGGAGGAGGTAAGATGGTAGGAAGTCGAAACTGTTCCAGAAAAGATATCCTGCAAACAAAACATAAAATAAATAAAGAAAATATAAAAAGATAAACGCCTGTTTCGTCAGGTAAGATCTCATGCATATTACATGTCGGTACACTATGAAACAATACAAAAATATATATAAATATTATAATTAAATAAATTAAATAGGCAGTGGTTAGTGGTTAATAAGTTAATGAAAAAAAATTGTATAATCAATAAGAAGGAGATCAAATATGGTAAGAGGAAAAACATGAGCACATTGTATGTATACACAGTAGTGTAAGTAAATGGTAGCAAAAGCAGGGAAAAACACTAGCTTATCACTTGGAGCAAACATTATCAAATACATTAGGCAGGAAAAAGGGAACCAAGGACAAACTCATAAGATTATAAGTGCAAAAAACAAAGGCCGACCAGAAAAGACTACAATTACAAACACTATAAGCAAAATACAGCAATAAAACATTGATAAGTCTCCCTTAAGCATGCAACATATAATACACAAATACAAGCAACCAGTAATAGAGAACAATAGGGGATAATAGCAAAAAGCGTAAAGTAAGTTGCCATTTACTAGAATTTGGCGAAAAAAGGAAAACCCATAATTACATTTCATCTTCAAAGAATTGCATTAGGTACAATAATATTTTGCCATTGAAAGTCCGTTACTTGAAGGGTGAACAATTTGGTTCCAACTGGTTTAATTTTGAGGCAGTTCATATACAATATTTTGTTACCTCTCTTTTTCTTTAAAAACTAGTTTAAAGATCCTTACTCTCTAAGGGTTGTCAAATCCCATCTAGCCATCACGAAACCATACCATAATGGTCAATTGCAAAAAAAAAAAAAAAAAAAAACAAGCCTAAAAACTAAAAAAACACAACCAAAACGGTTGACCAATTTCAGATGGTTGAGTGTAGTGTAGACTATTGGATTTTCTTGGATTGATAGGTGGATGAGAAAAAAAACCTTTTTCTTTAATGAGTTAATGAACTTGAAAGTAGGTTAATAACTTTGTTCTTTGTTCACATTAAGGTAACCATGTTTTTTTCGTATACATTTGATCATTGAAGTTGGTTGACCTGTTCAAAATAGGGTAATCTGACTGGTAATTAGCGGTAACATTACCCTATTATGAACAGGTTAATAAGTTTACTGGTAAATGTGTACGAAAAAAACATGGTTACCTAAGATAGACAAAAACAAAGTTCCTTACCCATTTTGGTAATTTTAGGTTTTTTATGTTAATTGCATGTAGTCATAAGATCCATTGATGTGACATGAAATTGGGTTGTCCGGTCTTATGTATGAGGAAATGGTCAAGTCTTGGACCAACCCAGTTTAGGCCCAACTAGTTATGGGTTAGGGTTGTATACGCTTAAGGGCTACGTGTCACACCTCCGAACCAGACGACAGAAACGCCCAGGGGCTCGTGTGACTAACAATTGTAATAATCCTCACAATGAATATACATGAATTCATAACCGATCATCACCCAACATTACATAATACAACTGACATTGTTTACATCAAGTACATTGTTTAAATACATAGTTCACATTTTTAAAAGTACGATAAGTACTGTTACATAAAACAAACCATACACACTTGCATATTTTCCAGCTTACGATTACTGAGAATACAAGTATTTGAAACGGTCAACATCTATAATGTTGGTGAGTTCATAAGTATGTTTGAGTAAAAGTCTTTTAAATCTTTCATAAATACCCAGAAATCCGATATTTTCTGTAAAATGTCTGAAAATGTTGTGTGAAAATCAAGTGTAAATGCATGTGTGACTTTCCTAGTTATTGTTTATCAGAGAGTAGTTTAGTTTCATTGTATTGTGAATATATGATAAATGTATATGAATAATTTCCCCCAGAAAATCGATATTTTCTGTTTTATAACAATGTCTAGATTCATGTATCGTTAAATAAGTTGTTTTGTATCGACACAATCAAAGAGTTTATCTCGAAAGTTTACTTTTGGATTGAATCCCTATATGAGCCGTTATAACCATGCATGATAATGACTAGGTCGCCAAGTCTTGGTATTTTTCCAAATGTCGGTCTTGCTAAGGATGTTGTCGCCCTAGACTGGCCTAGTCTAGCTGTATCGAACAGCTAAGGCGTGGGGGTCACCCCGTACGATCTATACACAAACTCCCGCTATCCTACCAGGAACTTGGCCACATAGGGTATCGTTATGGCATACTAACCACATGAAATTCTATTCCAAAGCCCTATTAGTATGAAATTTGGCCACAAAGGCCCAATCACATGTAAAAGGGTAATTAGGCCCAATAGGCATGTTAAATGGGCCACAAAAGCCCAATAACATGTTAACCATAACTTATATAGACCCAAATTAAACATGTAAGTGGGCCACAAAGCCCAATAAACATGTCATGGAAAACATTGGGCTCAATACAAACTTAATTGGGCCTTAGGGCCCAATGGCCAAGTAATGTTGATATTAGGGCCCAATAAATAGTTATCGTTTTATTTCGTTCGTCGTTTTCTTCTGTTGTTCGTTTAGCTTGAGGTTTGCTAGATGATGAAAAGAAGCTTTCATTTTGTAAAATGACATTTTTGGCCACTAATCCTCCAATTTTGCTTAAGCCCAAAGTTTGTAAAAATGACACTTTAGTCCATATAATTTATAAAAAATTTGTAATTTTGTCCCAAATGTCTAGAAAACTTACGGTTTAACCCAAAATGTTTATATTTTCACAATTTAGAACCCTGTTTAGAGAAAAATACATTTTCAGCCCCTTGTTTGTAAAAGTTTACGTTTCGGCCCAATTTTGGAAAACTTTATATTTTTGGTCCAATTTGAAAATAACTGATATTTCACCTCTAATTTGGTTTATTTACATTAATGACTCAAACTTTGGCCAAATAAAAATTTTTAAACCTTAACAACTTCATTTTTTTCGCAAATTGGGCCCAAGGCGTGAGGCCCAAAAGTTTTGGCCCCAATAAGCTTAAATTTGCATTTTTGGCCCTTTTAAACAGTATGTTAGCATAAAAATACATTTTTATACATGTAGGACCTGTTTGGCCCTTTTTAAAAAACAGAATTTTCACTTTTTACCCTTATCTTTTGTTTTCTTGACAATTTTTGACCTTTAACAAGGTTTTTGTTGTTGAATTCTTTTGCATATTAAACTTGTGTTCACTTTTTGCTTGATAATATGATGTATATAGTGTTGTAGTTCTAGATCGTTGCTACATAATACTAAAATTTCGAGATTCACTAAGATCTAACACATTTTACCAAATAAACTAAGAGTTCACACCAAACATGCATATAACACATAGATCTACACTTTTACTTGCATTCTCCCCCAAAAATCATATGGAAAACCAAAAACAAGGGGGTATGAACTCACCTTTGCTTGATGTTTCGGTTTTTGGAAGAAGAAGTGGAAATATGAAGTGATTTTCGGCCCTAGCAACCCCCTTGAGTAGATCTCAAACTTAAGAAGATTTCTAGAGTAAGTATGATCACCAAATACTTTGTTAAAAGAGTGATCTATCATGATGATGGAGTTATAAAAGTTGCATGTCTAAAGGCTTCAAGAATGATGATTATTCTTGTGAAAAATCCTCTTGAAACCTAAGCAAAAATCTTGAGAATTTTGGAGGAAGAAGATGGCGTCTTCTTGAGAGTAATGGACAGAATTTGTGTTGTAATGTGTGTGTGTGTGTTTGTTGTCTTCGCCGAGAGAGGAATAGAGAGGGAGAGAGAGAGAGATGAGGTGACAGCATGGATGCATGGGAGGTCTTCACCTGATATAGTGTTGGATATTATAGAGGTGGCACTCCAAAGTCAACCCCCCTAATTCTTCTCCTTTTCTTTTTTTCTTTTCTTTTTTTTGTTTTATACATGGGCCGAGATTTTGGGCTAGGAGGGGAAAGATTAGATTGGGCCCATTAACTTTAGCTAGGATACTTGGACCCTAAACATAAGGTTTTTCGGCCCCTTGGGCTCTTGGAGGCATTCACGGCCCACATTTAGAATAAAAGAATGGGCTTATGGCCTCCTAAGGTTTAATGATTATTTATTGGCCCAATAAGGCCCATTAGGGTTAGAATGAATCATTTTAGACCCAAATTGCCCAAATTGTTTTAGATTTATGAATTGGGTCCAAGTAGGATCCAATTAGGGCTTCTAGTCCAATAATAGGTTGAACTGG